GTACTCTCGATGCAGATATCCTGGCAAGTTCCTTCGTTTAAAAATTAAATTTTAAAAATGAGCGGATACTACAGCTTTCCAAGCTCCTCTGGGATCTCAGAGTGCGAGCAGGGGAGGAGGAGGAGGTGGGGCACCAAGGAGGCAGCGGGCGCTAAGGAGCGAGGACCGGGCGAGGGGTCTCCCCTCCCTCGCGCGGGGCGCGCAGGCGCGCGCTGCCTTCAGGAGAAGATGCGGATGGCCTGAGTGACCGCCGCGTGGCAGACCGGGCACTCGGGCTCGCTCTTCTCGCAGATGCGGTTTGCGCACTCCATGCAGAAGAGGTTGTGGCCGCAGGGCACTAGCGCGGCGATCACTTCGCTCTCGAAGCACACGGAGCAATCGCGGCTGCCCTTCCGCCGCAACCCGGAGGAGGAGGAGGAAGAGCTGGAGGAGGAGCTGGACGACGACGAGGAGCCGGACGTGTCCGAAGGCTGCAGGCCGGGCAGCTGCGACCCCAGCCCGTTGGCAAAGGCGGCGTAGGCCAGGCCCCCTCCGCCCGGGTCGCTGCGGACCCGGCGAGCCAGGTGGTGCTCGCCCGCCCCCGGGGCCATGTGCAAGGGCGGGGACAAGCGAGGGCAGCTGGTGCCCGGGTGCAGCCGGCGGTGCACCAGCAGCCCCAGGTTGGCGTTGGAGGGCGCGCCGGCGCCGCCCCCAGGAAAGACCACTGAGGAGGACGAAGCGGACGAAGACGCAGAAGAAGAGCAGGAAGAGGACGCGGGAGCTGCAGGTCCGCCTCCCGGGGACCGCTCGAACTGGGCCCAGAGAAGAGGCGCCCCAGGCGGGGGAGCAGGAGCCGGGTCGAAGGTGGGCTGTAGCTCCGGACAACCGTCGGGGGAAGGCACGGAAGCTTCCCCCGCTGCGTAGGTGTATCCATTGCCGTTGTTGTTGTTGTTTCCGTTGTGCGCAAAGCTGAGCGCGGGGCTGGGGGGACTGTAGTCCGCCAGGCGCGGGGTGGCGGCTGCGCTGCCGCCGGTCCCCCCGCCGAAGTAAGAGTCTGTGGAGGCGCTGCCGAGCGAGCTGGAGCTGTCGTTGCGGTAGCTACAGAAGGGCTTGCGGCCTGGGGTGGGCGTGATGCTGGGGGTGGGCTTGCTCCACAGGCTGCCTGGGCCGGACCCGCCGGACCCGTGGTGCAGATCGAAGCCCACATCCGTGCCGTTGGCGTGGAAGTCGTTCTCGTCTGTGAGCTCAATGATGCCGCCCGTGCGCAGGGCGATGTGCGCCTCGATCTCCTCGCGCGCGCGGTCCACGTTCTCTGGCATGCCGGTCACCTCGAACACCGGCTCCTTGTCGCGGCTGGGCGTCACGATGTACGTGTGCGTCTGCTGTTGGATGCGCTTGATCGTGGCGCCCTTGGGCCCCACCACGAGCCCTACCACGCGGTAGGGCACCCGCACCTGGATCGTGGTCTGCCCGGGCAGGTTGGGCGGCCCGGGCACTGCGCCGTTGAGCGCCGTGTTCTTATTCCGCGAGGCGCGGATCATGGAGAAGTGCTCGGCGGCAGAGATGATCTCCCTCCGAGCCATGGCCACATCCTCCTTCCTGCCCGTCACAACAAAGACAGGCTCCTCCCCGCGAACCGGGGTCTTGATGTAAGTGTTGGTCTTCGCCCGCAGCGCTTTGATTTTACAACCTGCGAGTCAGGGTGCAGGGGAGGGAGTGGGAGAGAGAGACAGACACGCCCATCATCCCGGGGTAACCGCAGAGACCTGGGACAGCCCGCGACGGCAGGACACGCGATGGGCGGAGAGGGGGCGGCTCCCTCGCTGACCCCGGGCCGCGCCACGGGCTGGGAAGCGGTTCTACCCGCGAGGCGCTCGAGGAACAGCCCAGCCCTCCCCCGAGGACTGCAGTAGTCCCGAGTCAAACCCGAGGCTCCCAGAAAAAGTCCGCTGGGGAGATGCGGCTGGGACCCAGCGGGGCGCGCCGTCCGCCCTGACACGCGGCGAAGGGGGTTCGGGGAAGCCGGCCGGAGCCGCGAGCCCCCAGCGCGGGGGGCGGGTGGGAAGGGAGGGCAGGCCCGGGACCCATTGTTCCTCCTCTGGGCTCCATTCCGCTTTGCAGAAATCCAGAACCCTCCTCCCATCCGACACTCTCTCCTCCTTCTCCGCTCCCGAAGGACCGATCAAAGGCCCCCTCCCCCAAGCATCTCGTATTTAAATTGCATTTCCCAGGGTGGGCTGGGCAGGGGGCCCTCCGGGAGCAGGCAGTGTTCTTAGCAGGATACAGTGCACCCCGCCGCGGCCGCGCGCGGCTCTGGGACGCAGCCCGGCTGCACTTTCTTTGTCTGGGGCGCCGGCCCATCGCGCGGCTCTTCCTCCCTCCTCTAGGCTCCCCGGCGCCGCGTATCTCGATCCCTCTCGCGTCCTCCCCGCGGGGCGGTGGCCCGAGACCCCCTCCCCTGCAGCTCCCCATCCCTGCGGGACCCACCTTGTCGCCCCACGATCTCGGCGACATGCTCGGAACTGGGCACCGGCACGCACTCGGTCATGTTCACGCTCTTCTTGCGCGGCTCACTGTCGTACAGAGAGGCGCCCTCGTCACTGTCCAGCCCCAGAAGGGAGAGCTGGTCGAGCGCGAGCTGCAGGGCTCTCTGGTCATCTAGGGTCTCTCCCCCGCCGCCGCCGCCGCCGCCCCCGCCGCTGCCGCCCCCTCCGCCGCCGCTGCCGTTGCGCTCCAGGTCTGCAAACAGCGAGCTGGGCATCGCTCCGCCGTGCGCGCCGCGCCCCCGCCGGCCCTCGGCTCGGCGGCGAGGAGCTGCGGCCACAAAGGCAGCCGGGAAGCGAGTGGTCAGGGGCGGGGAGGCAGGCCGGCTGCAGAGGGCTCCGTTGCTCCTTTCTCGGCGCCGAGAGGAGTGGTTCGCTCCGTACGGTCCGCGCCGGGCAGTGGCTGCAGGAGCCCCTGCCTGGGTCCCCACCCCAGATCTGCCGGCGGGTGGGGTGGGGGCAGAGCTCGAGCGGCAGCCGCGCGTGCCCCTGAGTGCCCGGCTGGCTGGCCACAATGCCGAGCGAGAAGCGAGCAGGCGAGCGACAGCAGCGTTTCTTTAAGGAGCCCCTCCCCAGCTCCTCCACTCCCTCCCTCCCGCCCGCCCGCCCGCCCGCCCTCACTCAGCGCTTTTTCCTCCTCTCCTCCCCGCCTCTTGACTGAGCCTCTGCAGCCAGACTGCTCCGGAGGGGGACGAGGGAGGCGCAACGTCACCGGCGGGAGCTGACACTACAATGCTACTGACACTATCGCTGGGGGAGGCGATTGGCGCGCGCCGGGCCGGGGGCGGGCGGAGGCCGCTGGCTGAGCGAGCGGAGCTCCAGCGCCCCCGCCCCGCGCTCGCCGCAGCCCGCCCAGTCCTCCGCCCGGCCGCGCCCCTCCCCCGCCGCCGCGAACGCCTCTCTTTGTTGTCTAATGCGGGACCGGCAGGCTCGGGACACTTGCTCGCACCCATCAACCGAGGACAGGTACTGTCCCCAGGTCTCCTCCCTCGCCTGACTCCGAAAAGGAAACGCGCCCAACTCGGATGCCAGGGGCCCGGCTCTGAGGGAGCGGTCCTTAGAAAGTCCCGTTAGTGTCCCCAAATAAGCCACCCCTAGGGCCAAAGGTGCCACCGGGAGAAAGGTCTATTGTGTGCCCAACAGGGCGGTCCGAGCCCTCGGACACGGAAAGCAAGACTCGAGGCACTGGTGCGCGGGGGCAAAGCGGCTCCCGGCGCGGGCTGCCCACCTGCGCGGGAGAGCACGAGACACAAAGGCACACGCCCGCCCGCATCGCCACTCGCGCGCACGCGCCCGCAATTCTGTCCCCTTGGGCAGCGCTTCACCCGACCAGGCCTGAAACTGCGGCTCAGAAAGCCAGACCCCGGCTGCGGCGCGGGTCTGGCCCGCCCAGCTCCGGGCGACCTCCGGAATGCGCGGCGCCGGGGTCCTACACACCCCGCGCGCCCGCGGAGCCCCCGCGGGCGGTGACACGCGCACCGGCGCCGCGCAGCCCCGCGGAGAGGCCGGCCGCAGCTCCCGCGGCGGCGGGGACGAGCGCGTCCTGCCCTCCCCGCGCCGGGCATGCGCCGTGCGCGCGGAGACGGGCCCTTTAAGGCGGCGGCGGAGCGCGCGGCCCCGCCCCGGCCCCAGCCCGGCCCGCCGGCCGAGTGCGCTCGCCGCCCGCCGCGCTCCGGGTGCTCGAGGAGGACGGCGCGGGGAGGGCGCGCGGCGGGGGGGAGCGCACGCGGGGGGCGGCGCGGGGAGGGCGCACGGGAGCCCGCGCTCCGGGTGCCCTGGGGGGCGCACGGGCCGGCGGGGCGCGGCGGGTGCGCCACCTCCTGGGGCACCCGGGGCGCTTCCGCGCTCGGTCAGGAAGGAGGCTCAGAAGGCGGCCGGGCGGGACGCTGCCCCCGTGCGCCGCCCCGTCCCCTCCGCGGGTTCCCTCCTCCGCCAGCCGGGCGGACGCCCCTCGGGCCCGCGCACGCCGCTCCTTTGTTCGGGGGCCGTTCCGCACAGCGGCCGGGGCGGCGGGCGTCGAGACGGCCAGGGTCCGGGCGGCGGGGCGCCTGGCGGGGACAATGAGGCCGTGCGGCCGCGCGCGCGGAGGGCTTCCTCCGGGTCCTCGCGGTGCCGGGGGCGAGCCCGGGGCTGGAAGGCAGGGGCCTCCCGGGTGCTCCCCGCGTGGCCCGGGAAGAGCGAGCGAGCGCCGGAGCCTCGGCTTCCTTTCCTGGCGAGCCATCCCCGCCCCGCCCGGCCCTTGGGTTCAGGGGCTCCACTGTGACAATGGACGGGAGCGCGCTTGGTCGTCAGCGGACAGTTACGGGAGCGCCAGGCGCACGCCCGTCCCCGCCCCGCCCGCTCACCTGGAGCTGTCAGGGGAAGAGGTGCTGATTACTTCCTTGGGGAGATGAGGTTCGCCAGCCTTACAGCGGTTATTTCCTCAGGATGTTTACGTCAGCTCCCCGAGCCTGGGGTTTGTTTTCTTCAAAGGGAAGGTTTGACGGAGGGGCCTGGGGTGGGGGCGCTGAGTCCTCCTAGAGAGCCACCCCCTAGAGCTCCCATACAGAATTTTTTGACCTGGTTTATGGACTCAAGTCCAACTAATTCGAGAATGAGGAGGGAGTGCCCTTGGGGATTCCTGCCCGGATGGAGGGCTCCGAGTAAAGGGTCCTGCTTTACTCCTGCAGAGGGGGCGCAGCCTGGGCCCCCACTCAGGGCCTGTGGACACCAAGGCAGGCGGGAGAAGGCTCCCCAGGCCTCAGCGTTTGCATCTTGCTGACACAACAGGCCACTTTCTGGCCTCTCAGCTCTGTGTCTAGGAATTTAGTAGCCTCCCGATCGGGCCAACTGAGGGGTTTTTCCCAAATAACACGCTGGAAGTAAAGTTTCACCACTCCTGAGGCCTGTAGACGGGTAAAGGGGGGCTCCCCGCGGGGGAACAGGCCTGCCATACATCCTCCCCTCCAGCCTGCGGTGCTGGACTTCAGGTGGTTGATCAGAAGCCTGTTGAGAGGGTTGGGTGCTTCAGAGGCCCCCGGAGCATGGGGCTCATTCCCAGGTGGGTAAACGCAACACTTTGCGGAAGTCACATGTTTAATGTCTTTCTTCCCTACTAGATGGTGAAGGCAGAGCTGTGCCTGCAGGTGACTGCAGATGTTCAGTGAATCACACGTCTTAGCCACATGAAGGATCAGCTACAGCTCTGAGCCGAGGAGTGCACAGGAAGCTGCCTGCCCTGAGGGGCCCAAGTGCCCTGCGGCTCAGGTCGCCCTCCACAGACCAGAAAGCCTCAGCAAACCTGCAGAGATCAGCGTGGTCTTCTGAAGACATCCATGGAGTCGAAGGCCCTCCTGCGAGGCCAGGAGGGTGATGATTATGGTGAAGAGAGGTATGATGTTGGATGGATCTGGGTCCCAGTCCCGGCGCTGTGAAAAAGGCTGGTCTCCAGCTCCCCACGGCCCTCGGGGTGGTTTAGCAGATGGATGCTGATGGTGAAAGGGAACTCGTTGTAGGTTGCAGAGTCTCAAGCAAACGTACGGGTACAAATGTGAGCTCTACCCACAGCCACGTCTCGTCTTCCCCACTTGTGTCCAGTGCTCACTGGGCACGGTATTTTCTGATGCTTGAATGCTATCGTTAAAGTAACGATCTGGACATTTTAATTCTCAATTAAGCTTTCAATAAGCCAAGACATCATAAAACTTGCGAAGTCCAGTTCTGTTTTTAAATAGATGATACAGCCAACCCCATAGCTTCTGTTAGACTTTCCCAGGCTCCTTTAGGACCCCAGAGCTTAACTACTTTTCCTGACACAGGACATGTTCCCTAAGGACTTCCCCGATGTGGCCATATTATTTTTTCATTAGCACAAGAAAGAAGCTTCCTGAGTGTGGCCTGGTAATATTATAGGGAATTTCAGTTGTGATAAAATAAGATAAAGTCACGCAGAAACAACCAAGATTAACCATGAAACCACCTTTGACTTGTTTCCAGAGGCCTCAAACTATTTTGCACACATCTTGCTTACTTTTGCAAAGTGAATAGCTGGCAAAAGAAACTAAAATCCTCATGGGAACACCAGCGCACCCTGTGTCAACTTGTTGAACATTCCCCGAGCACCTGCACGCTGTGTCACAGGCACAGCAGAACGTGCTGATGACACAGAAGTGGACGAGGCAGAAGGCGCCTTCCCCTGGAACCCTGGTCACGTCCAAACCCGGCCACACAGCAGGCTGAGTGCCCAAAGAGGGTCCTGGGAAGATTTCCCAGTCGTGCTTCCCAAGAATGAGGAGTGAGAATTAACTGAGCCCAGTGCTTAGCGTGGAATCAGCATCGTGTCTAGTAGGAACTCGGTGAGTGTTTAGTAAATGAACCAGTGAGCCAGGTCAGAAAGGCTCGAGGTGCGGTTTTCTTAAGTCTTTACATGAATAACAGTCTCTGAGAAGTGGCTCAGATGACTTCAGCCACGAGGACATGACGCTGAGTAATAATAGTAACCCAGGTGACATTTATAAAGCACTCGCCTGCCGGGCAGTTTACCAAATGCTTTATGAGGCTGCATCTCATTCAGTTCTCTGAACTGCTGAGGGAGGTGCTCCTGTTATCCCCATCTTACAGAGGAAAATGAGGTGGGTCGCTCGCCCAAGCCAAGGCAGCTGTGCCTTGAAGCAGGTGACACCAAGCTTCAGGGCCCCTCACTTGCACCGCAGTTTCAGGGCCCTGGGAGGGGTCCTGGCAGTTTAGTTACAGGACCACGTGTTTCAGTAAAATTCTCAAGAGCAAGGTTTTTATTCTTTTCCTTAGGGAGAACCCCCAAAATTACAGAACCTTGAGGCCCAACAAATCTTAGATCCGCTGTTGTGCCCAAGGTCACTCAGCTAGTGACTGACCCGGTCTGTGATCTTCCCCAGCCCCGAGTTCTTCCGTCTCTGAGCTATGATCCTCGGCTGGAAGCTGGAAGCATTTCCAGCCCTGCTTCTCCACGGGGCTGTGAGCAAAGACTCAAAAGCACTTTCCTTCTTGATGTCCTGTTGTGTTGTCTTTGCATTGTTAACCTGTATGTGACATGTAACACATAGAGCACACATTTTTAAGACTATTTGAATAATATGGGAAATGCTCTCCTTATGTTTAGTGAACAAAAAAGGAGATAAGGAGAGTGTGTGTGTCACTAAACACTCAGTAAGCGTTAGAAAAAGCAAACGGAGAGGTTAGAAAGAAATCAACATTTTAACTATGGTTATTCTTTAAGTGGTGGAATCACAATTTTATTTTCATTTTACTTTTCTGTATGTTTCAAGTTCTGAACAGACCTTTTTCTCAATTTTTAAAAATAATACGTACTTAGGTTAAAAATTAATGCTAAAAGGCTTAATAAAATAAAAAGCACCCCATCCTTGCTGTAGGTAGAGGAAAAAAAGCTAAAACTAGTCCCAGCACACATCGTTATTAAAGCTTCTGGAATTAGAAGAGTAGAGATGGAGAAAGTTTCATAAATTTTATTAAATGGGCCTTTAAAGTAGCTTGACTTCTAAAATTTAAACATGACTTAGTTAATAATCAGTAATAACCATTCCGCAATATCAGAAAGGAGTAAGAACAAGAGAAAGTACTTTAAAAATCTCTGAGACGCGGGGAGTCGGGGAGCCTGGAACCCCGTCTGCAGGAAGGAAGTGCTCTTTCTGCTCTCTGAGCAGAGAAGCAGCAGATTGGTGGAATTCAAGCAATTCTTCCATTGGATCCCCTTGTTTTTCCCAAAGTTGTAGGTTGAACCCCTATCTAGGAAGCTGGCGAAAACCATAGAAGCTTAGACTCTCGAGATGGTGGAGAGCGTGTGACCACCTGACAGCGAGCACACAGAAGGCCAGCAACAGGGTGCGGCCGACCAGACACCAAGTGCTGGTCCTCAGCGGAGCCGGGCTGGGGGCCGGGGCTCTGACCTGCATGAAGAGCTCTGCTCTTGCACAGTTTGAGGAGATCTGGGACTGCCTAGTGAGCCCCTCCCTGTCCCACAGGGTAAGCACAGGGCAGTCCCACTGTCAGAGTTGCCAGGTCAAACCGGGGAGGACCCCTACACCTGCTCCCAAATCTGGGCAGAGCATGAGGAAGGACAGTGAGCCCCGCTCGCCTACCCCCAGGCTCCTCCCCCGACCTGGACAGTGCCCCTTGGTGAAGGCGCTGTCTCAGAGCCGCGTGTCACTGCTTGGGGGAGACGGGTGAGGCCCAGCAGCAAAGGTCCAGCCACAGCCATGCTGTCTGCTCTAGAGGGACTGCCGTGCGTGGAAATAAAACAAGGGGAACCATGTGCATTGGCAACGACACAAGTCAGTCACAGTGACCTGGGTCTTTGGTCATCCCAGTCTCACAGTGTACCCGTAGGTCTTGCTGTCATTTCTATTACATAAATTGACTGCCCAACGTCACATTTCCAGGAAAATTTGGAACTAGGATTAGAATCCAATGACTCTAGAATCCAAGCTCCAGCCAACCTTCTCAAACAGAAGTCTGTCCAGGAAAAGACAACCAGGGTTGGGAAAAGACTCAAAATTACGACGTGAGAGAAACAACGGAAGGGACTCTGACTCTCCTGACAGAGGAAAGTCTTGGGGTAAAATGTGTTCCTCAGAGTTGAGAATGACAAACAGACTTGAAACAACAGTAATGAGTTAAATAAAATAAAAGATAAAGTGTGCTGAGAAGTACAGATTAAAAAATCAGAAGTGGGAGGGGATGGGGCCAGCCTGGTGGTGTAGCAGTTGGGTTCACACGCTCTGCTTCGGCGGCCCAGGGTTCACCAGTTTGGATCCCGGGTGAGGACTTACGCAGCTTGTCAAGCCACACTGTGGCAGGCGTCCCACATGTTAAATGGAGGATGATGGGCGTGGATGTTAGCTCAGGGCGAATCTTCCTCAAAAAATAATTAATAATAATTAAAAATAAAAGTGGGAGGGGACAATGAGAAATGGAAGGAATTGATAGTTTTCCGATATTTGCACAACTTCTCAATGGGACACTTGTTCCGTGAAACTCCATGGGGCAGAACAAGGACAGATGCTCCTGGAAGGCAGACACAGGCCCAGGGTAAGAACTTCCTTAAGCTCTGAGCTGCCTGCAGGTGGGGTGGCATCTCACGGTGATGCTCATGAGGCCACTCGATGGGGAGACGTCTGTGACAGGCGCGCGCACGAGCCGGCCGGCAGGTGAATTCGCCAGTGCTGACAGTGAGTTTTCTACAGCTGGTCTGTGACATTCACCAGTCACCCAGTCTCTGAGCTTCGGTTTTCTCATCAGTAAAATAGAAATATGAGCCTTAACTGAGGCGGATGACACATGTGGGCCCTTGATTCTTGCCGGCAGGATGGAGACAGCCTAGAGGGGTGTGGGGTTTCCTGTTTTCTTGTCAGTCATCTCATAAAGTGATAGAATGTAGAATGGAAAAAGTATTAAAAACTCTGTAGTCTTTTTCAATACTTTATGTGACCACACCTTCTCTGCTCTCATAACTTAAAAAAAAAACTAAGAAATACTTTCATAACCTAAAGAATTTTGTGTGTACATTAAACATTACCCCAAAAATCTAAATGCTGATTAATGAGACACAGCTGTCATGTTCTCACAAATAACTGAACGAGTAGCCAGTTTATCCTCGTGACAAAATTATTTCTTTCCCGGGCATTTCAGTTGAAACAATAAAAATTGTGCCAACAATGCTGTTGGTTTTTAGCTAATAATAGAATCATTTTGTTATGTTAATGAAATAGATCTTCTACAATTTTATTTATTAAAATTCTACAGTTATCACTGTAGTAAAATGTGAATGCAGCCAATGAACGCAGATTCACTGACCCTGACAAGCAGAGAAATTCGAGTGAAAGAATGCTTTTGAGTGGGCGCAGCTGCTGGTAACGCTATCGATTTAGAATAGAGGCCGAGATGTAAATTCCACGTCTCAGAAAAGAGAAAGGAAATACAATGTCTAGCTGGAAAATTTTAAGGAGCACTATAAATGGAAAGTATAATAAAAATAAACACAAGCATAAAACAACCAAGTAAATAAAACAAGTACCAACAAGTTGGTGACAACAGATATGAGGAGAATATAGTCTTTGAAAAGAGGTTGATTCTCAGCTGGGATTTCACCTTGCAGAGGTCAAGGTCGTGGCCTCTGGGGCTGGGCTGCCTGGGTTTGGAGCTCCCGGCTCGGCCTTGTCTCTGTGGCCTGGAGAGCCAGGCTTCTCTCCCTGTGCTCAGTTTCCTCGTCTGTAAAACGGGCGCCTGTAGCCTCTGCCTCCCGGCTCGTGCGAGGAGTGGCAGGTGACGACGCTGGCAGAATCCCGAGGTGGTGCCGCGTGACCGACGACTACGAACCAGAGGGGAAGCGGCCCTTGCTCTCTGTTGGGTTAAACTGTGCTGTGAGGTTGTGAAAATTAAAACTGTATCCTGGCATCAGACGGGCGCTGGATCCCTACAACAGACGTAAACGTTTAGAAACGAACCCCCGTTGAAAAGCATTTACTGTATGACAAAGGTAGAAATGCAAACAAGTGAGGGGAGAAACTGTTCCGAAAATGGTGCTGAGATGGCTGGTGTTTTGGAAGCACTATGTTAAGTTGGCTTTTTCTTCCTAACCTCACGACATACAGCAAAATAAATTCCAGGTGGGCTAAGGAGTTTGACGAATGAAATCATAAAAGAACTAAACGCAAACAGGTGACTTTTTCTCTAATTTGGGGGCAGGAGAAAGGCTCTCTGGGCGTGACCCTAACAGTGGGAATCACTGGGGAGAGGCTTATGTGAAGAAACTGAGAACCGGCAGGACGGGACGGAATAACAGACAGCGGGGCGTCCACAAGTGCGACGCACCCGTGTTGACCGCGGGAGGCGCAGAGATAAGCCTGTGGTATTTCAATTATTATATCTTCAATTTAATTGCATTATGAAACCTTATTAGTATATCAAACCCTTGAATTCACTAATATCGGTGCAAAGAAGAAGCTCAAGTTGGTATATATATGTTTTAAAAGGACGTCAATTTGAACAAAAATATCAGATGAATGATAATACAGTTGGTACTCAGATTTGATAAAAATATATAATGCAAATGTTATGTGAGCGAATGATGCTTGGAGATGCAAACTGTGGATGAGAAGATGTTTTAATTAGGCTAATTCTTTAAAAATTAGTTTATAATTAGAATTTTATATAATCCAATCAAAACAAGTTTTTTGGGGGAAAGTCTTTCAGAAGTTCATCTGAAAGAACACAGAAGAACCAACTCATATCTGATAAGATATTAACATCCAAATATATAAGGAAATCCTACAACTCAATAGCAAAAAACCCCACAAATAGTCCAACTGAAAATGGGTAAAGGACTTGAAGAAACATTTCTCCCTCTTAGTCACTATGCGGTTGATTCCAGCTGAATTTGAGAGCTTTATACACACATACACATGCGTGTCCTGACATTTGCTCACATACCATATGTCTAAGTATTTGAAAGTTACGCATCAAGCTATCAGCTATTGAATGACCTGCATTCTAACCTCTTACCTAGACAAACAGCCCTTGGCGATGACCGGACGGCAGGTGAGAATTTAGAGTTCTCGCCGCCTTGGGGTTCCGCCCTGGACCCTGGTCACACGGGAGGAGCAACCTTGGACGTGACCCTGCCTCCACCCCTTCTGTCCCCCTCCAGCCTCAGTCCCACACCCAGGACACGTGTGTAGACGCCTCCGCTCCCTCCAGGCCCTGCTCCCTGCCCTCACACCCTTGGACACGCTGGGCTAGGTGCACACCCCTCATGTGGAAGACCCAGTGGACTATCTGGGGAGGGGTCCACACAGACTCCGAGGGGGCAGCAAGGTCGGGACCCTCTGAAGCACGGGGCCCAGGGCAGGGACCTCTTGTCTGACACGTTACATAACTTAAAAACAAAAAAGAGCGATTTGAGTATAAAATAAAAATTGCAATGAGTGCTGTTGTCTCTGTTTTACACATGGGAAGGATTACAAGTAAACCCTATTCTGCTGGACGGGACCCTTGTAAGTATCTTCCACTTGTAGCATTTCTCACTCGCTCCAACCTTCGTTGCTCCCTTCCTTTATTCTCTCTCTCCCTCCTTTCCCTCCTTTCTTCCTTCCCTCCTTCCCTTCCTTCTTTGCACACATATTTAGCGTGCCTGTGTGCCAGGCACTGCCGGGCCCTGGGGTTCGAGGATAATCAAGACAAATGTGCTCAGGGGGCTTGCAGTCTGACGAGCAGCCTGGCGTCGATCGTACACAAATAAACGTGTAATTACAAACCGGGCCTAGCGCGCAGCAGATAAGCACGCACTGATTTGTGGGTTGCCTTTGATTTAAGGTTTCCTGCTGAGTCGGGGAGGAATGTAAATCTGTTTTTCTCTTAAAGCCAGAGGCCTCATATTTCCAGGAACCTCCGAAATGGATGCATTTGGTACAGCTCACCAGCTCTGGGTGCGCTCCCTGCGAGCACGTGAGCTAATTTCATTGAATCAGCTCTACTGCTTTATTGCTGTAGAGAAACGTGGCCAAAAATTTCAGAGGCGCAAATTCCGGCAGTTTACAAGGCCAACTGTCCGCTTGTAGAAGGCACGGGTTTTACGAGAGACCCCGACGCCTGAGTCTCCTGGAAACGCAGAGGGTGGGGTGGGAGACCCACTTTCCCGTGAATGTCCACTTGTGACACAGCAAAGGCGAGAGTTGCGAGTCACCCGGTGTCCCATGACTTTTCTCCGCGCGCTCCGCTCGAGACGATTCCTAGCGAAGGCCCCTCAAGGTGTGGGGACGGTGACCGCTTTGGAACCAGCAGGCCCTCAGTGAGCAGGAGGCAGAGGGTGGGCCCGCTCCTCACAGCCACAGCGGCGAGAGGAGACTTTCCCACGACTGTCGCTCTTGTCCACGCGGATGCGGCAGAGCACGTGGCCACCCCGTAGCTCTGTCCTGAAGGGGAGAATCCTCCAAGGGAAACCCACTAGAGCCTTACCCGTGGCGATCTGAATTTCTGACTGCCCGTTGATCTTATGTCTTCTCCCTAACGGTTTTCAGTTTCCAGTAAGGAGTAAATAAATCCCCAGGAAATTCACCTTGGAAAAGGAACGATGATGTCTTCTCCTCCCCTGTCCCAGACCGAACATTCAGCTTTTTAACATTTTTATCCCCCGCAGAGGAAAGCCTCATTTCAAAGACTTTTTTAGCACATGCACATTCACACATGCGCGTGCGCACGCACATGCACACACGCACACACATTTTCCGGCTCCTTCCTGCTTCAGGTTCTGTGCAGCTGCTCCAGGCCCAGCCACCTGCCCGTGGGAACTGGCGCCCCTGGGGTGGGTGCCAGCCCTTCGCTGGAGCGTCCTCTGCTGCCAGACCGGCTCCAAGGCTACACAGACCCCCGGCCCCGTGACCAAGCGCCCCACCTCCCCTGAGGGCTGTGTGTCCGGTTTGTCCTCTCCATCCTGCCCTGCGGGACCTGCCTGGGATGCATGTCCCCTGAGTTACATACAGACTTTGAGGCGAGCATACGTTGTTTGGGGGTTTTGGGGTTTTTGTGGGATTTGGAAAAAACATCCAACGCTAGAATCAGAGCTGAGAAAAGAATGAAGAAGGCAGCCCATCTTATCTCCAGAGCATCTTTGATCCCAGGAGCCTGCAACTTCCCATCAGCCTCTCAAATGCCCCGAGCGAGTGAGTCCTAGGGAGGTAAGCAGCTTGGGGAAGGCTGAGGCAGAGAGGGTGGAAACAGGACTCCTGGTGAACCCCTGCCGCCCCCCGCTTAACCCAGACCCACCACCACCACCACCTCCACTATTCCTGCTCCCCACCTCCCATCCTCTCCTCCTCCCCCATCGTTATCCTCATCATCATTTAGCATCGTGAAGCCTCTTCAAGCTGCTGGCTTTGTCACCACATGAGTGTGTCTAACCTCCCTCACACCCCCGTTCACTCCCTGATAAAACGAGGGCGGTGACCGGCTCGCTTCAGAGAGCCATCGCCCTAAATGAGTCCATATAGCGGAAGAGCTGCCCCGTGCCTGGAGAGGGCTCTGTACCCAGCTGTCCCTCTTTTTCTTATTATTTTCCTGACGTAATTTTTGTCATCCTATTAGCCTCCACACAAATGCCACCTCCCCGGTGAAGCCTCCAGACTGACCCCAGAATTGAAAACGGTCCTCTCCTGTCATCCCCCGGTGAGCGCGGGGGCCCCTCGCTGGTACCCCCTCCATAGCCCGTCGTGGACGTTCCCCGTGGCCTCCTGCCTCCCGGGCGAGGCCGGGCTGGTTTGGGAGACCGCTACCTCACTCTTCTGACTGAGTTACCTCGGCAGCCCCTTCGGCTGTGCCTCAGTCTCCACTTTTGGAAGAGGAGGACAATAACGGCGCTGGCTCACGGAGTTAGCATGAGGATTAAACAAAATGCTGCGCGTGGACACGTAGCTCGGTCCCCAGCATCGGGGACGCGATCTCTGGAGCAGGTGCTCGGACGGCGTCTGGGGCGGGGTCGCAACGGCGCTGACGTGGTCCAGCGCCGGGCAGCTCGCACTGGGGCGCGTCCACGTGGAGGCGAGGATGACAGCCGTGAATGGAGCCGGCAGATGTGGGCCGCAGGCGGCGTGGCTGCCCCCTCCCAGCGGGCGCGTCCGCGGTCACACAGATGCTCCTGTCCCCACGGCCCGCAGCCAGACGGGGGCTCTCGGACCGAGGGCCCCACTGTTCCTGCAGAGCCGCATCTGCGGCTGGGGGCCGACACCATCTGTCGGCGGCTCCTTGAGCCACAGGCGCCACTGTGCTCCCGGCGTCCCATCTGCAGGGAAAGCCCGGCGCCCACGCGGAGCAGGGCCAGCTGGACGTTACGCAGACTCAGGACGCACAGACGGGAGAGAACCAGCCATCGCGCGCCGGTGCGGGGCGGCTCTGCTCCCCAGTCGTCCGCCTCCAGCGCCTGCTCGATCCTGCGTCTCCAAGGAAAACATTCCCGACACCTTCTCCGGCTGTTGACCTCTTCCAAGGTCAGCAATTTTTATTAAACGTTTCGTTTGGACATAATGTCAAACTTACAGAAAAGTTGCCAAAACAAGAGTAGTGCAAAGAACTCTCACGGATCTTCATCCGCTGTTCACATCGGCCCGGTTTGCTCTATCGTCTCTCCCATCATCCGTTTCCTGAGAACAGAGACTTCCTCTCTCAAGCCCGCAGCACAGTCACCGACTCCAGTAAACTCGACGTCGACATGGTACCTTGAGGAAGCCCGATGTTCTGTTCCAGTGTCCTCAGTGAGGACCAGCACTTTTTTAATTCTCTCCAGAACGAAAGAGATGAAAATCTCAAGCAGGATGGAGAGGGTCCTATTTGTTTGAAAACCTTTAGCCTCCGGAGTGAGTTTCAAACATGCACGACCCGCGGGGCCAGAGGCTCCCAGGTCTGTTTTGCATCCTCCACGTCTCTGTTGTTGTGAAACCTCCCCGGAGACGCCACGGCTGCGCGGGTTCGGGTCGCACGCGTGGTGGGAAGGGAGCCTGGGGGCGGCTGACGCCCAGAGACCGCTCGCTCCGGGGGAGCGGGGGTTAGCCGAGCAGGGCGCAGGCGCGGTCGCTCCGTCACACTCACTGGTGGGCACCTCCACTGGGCCGGGCGTTGACTTGCCAGCAAGAAAGGCCAGCTGGGCCCAGACTTGCTTCTGTGGCCCCTGAGAGCGCAAACCCAGAAGGAGGGTGGACCTGGCTTGTGTCTGCTTGTTGTGAGACGGGAAGACTGCAAGCTCTGAGCCTCAGTTTCTTGAGCGGGGAAATGCGGGGAATTGCGGGGAATAGTAAAATCCACCGAGCCGGCTGCTGAGATCCAGGGAGCTCGTCTGGACGGCGCCTGGTACAGGGAAGTATTCAGTAAGCGCCAACTAGCGTGACTGGTGGGGAGACGGGATGTAACACACATCACAATACCATCCACCAGTCGCTCTAATAGCCGTCTAGTGCACCCAGAGAGCCCGGAGATGGAGGCCCTGGGGCTTGGGGCTGGAATCAGAGAGGTCCTCAGAGGGGTGGTTGGAGCTGAGTGTGGAAGGTGACAGGTCAGCTGGCTGGAGGCTGAAGGGAGGGAGGAGGAGGGGAGGGACGGTCTCCACGTCCTCGCAGAGGAAACCGCACATGCAGACCTGTGGACAACTGGGAGGCTATGGATGGCCTCCTGTGGCTGGACTCAGAGCCGGGGCAGGTCAGTCGGAGATGAGGCTGGAAAATGCCCGGGACACGACGGCCCTAGCGGTTGGCAGGTGACACTGCTGCAAACGGCTGTGCACTGACAGGATCAACCGGTCACCCTCTGTCCTGCACTGGTGTCAGGCGCAGCTCCTGGACGAGGCAGGAAGCCCCTGGCCGGGTAGCTGGGGCAGGTCAGCCCGCCCCTCCCTGCTCATCGCTCGAAATAGCCAGACGCTTTTCACACAAAAAAATTATTTCTGATTGGAAAATTAATAATGCTCATTATAGATGAGTTTGAACATATTACTTTTAATCTCGTTCCCACTTTCAATTAAGAAACTCTCACGCAGTAATAGCTTTGTTATCTGGCCTGTCAAGTTAATTAAAAGGCTGGTTAGCTGAGTATTAAGTCACCGAGCTCCCACGTCATCCCCCACCTTCCCTCCCATACTCCGCAGATGCTGAGCAGAAACAGCTCCCTCCGGGTCGGAGCACCACTTCTCCCCCTCGTTTTTTCCGGGAAGAATCCCAATGTGATGTGCAACCTGCTGGTGTCCCGAGAGGCGGCCCATTTTAGAAGCAACAGGTTTTGCTGACTGTGAAAGTCGAGCTTTTAAATGAGAGGCCTCAGCCGGGGTTCTTGACCTGAAGCTGCGGCCTGGTCACCAGCAGAGGCTCTCAGGTCACACGCCCCCCTTGCTGGTCCCTCTGCTTCTGGAGCCCCGGGCGGGGGCTGGGCTGGGGACGGGGTGCAGCCCCC